TTTTCGTCACTAGTCTTTGGATTAGTAACTTAATTAATATTCTATAATTTCGTCACTAGTCTTAGGATCAGTAACTTAAGGGTTGGGGGAGAGGCGGTGAATTACAACTTTTTATATTCTACTCCTTGGCTACAATTCTAAATAGTGCATAATAATGAAATGTGTGACTGAAGTTTAGAGTGGATTTCTTTTTTTCTAAAATTAAGGGTGTTAAATTTTTTTTCTGTTCGTTTGTAAGTTTTAATTTTTTTTAAAAATAATGTATAATACTGTTATCTGAATACCAAAGTAATCTAAAGGTTCATTTATTTGCAATTTAAAATCCGAATTATAGTCACATTTTTATTGTTGTCAGATATAAAGATTGATAAAGCGTAGTCCATCGTATTCTGCCCATATTATTTTTTCAATTATCACAATTTCAAATCTATGCAAAAATAATAATAAAAATGTATAGTGACAAAATAATTTACTAATATTTTGCATATCTAAATTTTGGATGCAGTAATAAGCTAATCCTTTATTTTATTGTTAATCCAGGCAAGTTTGACTCAAATTTTTATCTCTTCAGCAGGGCCATAAAAGGCATCGATTAGTACTGACATTCACAATAATAATTTTAGTATTTATTTTTTCATTAATAAATGGATGGCATTCTTTTAAAAGTCCGATTTTTTATTCCTCACATCGTCAACATTTCTAGAACTCTTTCGTAACTTTTTTTCTTCTAAATAATTTAATATTGCCATAACTATTGTACACAACAACTAAATACTAATGAAAGTGTTGTAATAATATAAAGCAAGGTATAAGATAATAATTAAAATGAAAACAATATTATTTGCTATTTAAAAGACCTATAAACTGTGCTTGAACTAAAAAATTTTTTCTATACAATCAATCTAAAAATGAGGAATTTTGACACCTATCATCCTCAGCCATAATTTCGTCAAAATTCTTTCGCCAAGTTATTGGCATTGACTTTCACAATTATAATTTTAGTATTTATTTTTTCATTCATTTATATTTAAATAAGTTAGTATTTTTTTTAAAGCAGATTTTTTATTNACTGACTTCAGGAAGGTAATTACCCTCCTTTGGTGTAGAAAGACCACCTTAGTTGACGAGATTGTGATTATCTCTTATCTCTGAACTATTTTCATGTCATTTTGCTATTGATTCACTCCCCTAAATATCCAATCAAATTTACATGTTCAATTTAAGGTTCAGGAAAATAGAAAATTCTGTTTAATAAAAATAGTAAATTTAAAAAAATCACATTTTAAGCAATTTTCGTGCAAGTCAAGACATATTGAGAAATTCGCGGATTTTAGGAAAAAAGATGACAATTTCGCGGAAATTTTCACCACGACAAACCTGCAGCCCTAATTATAATGAAATGTGTGTGTAAAATTAAGAGTGGATTTCTTTCTTTTTTTCCTCTTTAATATAGGGTGTTAATTTTTTTTTTGTTGTAAGTTTTAATTTTTCTAAAAATAAATGTGTAATATTGTTAGTGGTATCTGAATACCAAAGTAATTTAAAGGTTCATTTATTTGCATTTTAAAATCTGAATTATAGTGAAATAATTTTTTTTGGTCAGATATAAAGATTGATAGAGCGTAGTCCATCGTATTCTGCCCATATTATTTATTTAATTATCACGATTTCAAATCTATACAAATAATAATAAAAATGTATAGTGACAAAATAATTTACTAATATTTTACGTATCTAACTTTTGGATGCAGTAATAAGCTAATCCTTTATTTATTGTTAGTTCAGACAAGTTTAACTCAACCTTTTATCCTTTCAGCAGGTTCATATAAGGCATCTATCAGTACTGACATTCACAATAGTAATTTTAGTATTTATTTTTTCATTTATTTGTTTTTTCATTATTAATTTTTTTATTAATAAGTGGATGACATTTTTTTAAAAATCAGATTTTTTATTCCTCACATCGTCAACATATAGAACTCTTTCATAGCTTTTTTTTCTTCAAAAATCATTGAATATTGCCATAACTATTGTACACAACAACTAAATACTAATGAAAGTGTTGTAATAATATAAAGCAAGGTATAAGATAATAATTAAAACAATAATTAAAATGAAAACAATATTATTTGTATTTAAAAGACCTATAAACTGTGCTGAACTAAAAAATTTTTCCTATACAATCAATCTAAAAAATGAGGAATTTTGACACTTATCATCCTCAGCCATAATTTCGTCAAAATTGTGTCGCCATGTTATTGGCATTGACTTTCACAATTATAATTTTAGTATTTATTTTTTCATTCATTTGTATTTAAATAAGTGGAAGATATTTTTTTAGAAGCAGATTTTTTATTCCTCACATTGTTGACATTTTTAGAACTCTGACTAAACTGACTTTTTGTTACTATAACAATGAACGTTAATACAAAACAATGAAATATTTATGAAAATATAGCAATAACGCAAAGCTTTATGATAACAATTAAACCACCAAATGAACGAAAAACAATAGTATTTTTTATTTAAAAGACTTGTTCAAGCCACAACACATGCTTGAACACTAAACACTAGGGGTTCTGCGCTTGGCTGACCACCCAACCTTAACATTTGCTGCCACACCATAGTGCACAATGTCAAGAAAATGGGATGGGCCTTGGACATCGATGGGATGTTGTACCACTGACTTTAATAATTAGTAGAGGTGCCAATATTTATGTTTTATATGCAAGTTATTGTCACATTAGTGAGAAAGAATTTTTAAAAGCAATGATTTTAAATAAGAAGTATCTCCTTTTTTCCTCTTTATCCTTTAATCAAAGATTCCAAATTGAATGTCTAATTAGAAGCTATCTACTTTTTACTTTGCTTTTAATTTATTGGAAATAAAATTGTTTAATTTGTATTAATGTCTCTAAAGAGAAGCATATCTTAAGTAAATTCTGAAATAGGATCTTTATTTGTTATATAAGATATCTATTAGATTTTGGTAAATAGAAATTTGTTCTATTTTATTTAAATCTTTAAATTTATTTTTTATCAGTTATATTGTTTAAATTCCGCAGTTTTTTTTTTTGTAAACGTTATATATTTCTTTTTCAAATTAGGTAGAAATTTGACTCAAACATAAAGATTATAAGTCGCTCTTTTACATTTTTCTCTTGGGTATTAATAATGATTAAAAAGAATACTACTTTTCTTCAATTGTGGTTAGAAATTTTTTAATTTACCATGATTATATAACAGAATGTGTGCATATTTTTCTGTTTTATATAAATAAATTGAAGCCACCTATAATTAATACTTATGTTTGGATCATGCTATTGTTAACTAGTTCTAATAACATAAATTTTTTAAAAATTGCTTTTTTAGATGTCTTGATATTTAGTTATCTGCATATTAGGGTTCGGTTTTTGATGTCAATCAAATTATTTTGACTATTACTAACAAAAATTCAATATTTTGGTGTAGAAAATCATAATCTAATATAAATATTAGATAATTATAAATAAAAATATATAGCATTGAGATTTATCCAAGCTGTTAATTTCCTTGTTTTTTTATTTTTATTTTCAATAATTATCTTTTAAAAATTATCGATAATTATCTTGTTCATTATGTGTAAAATTAATTTTAGTAGATAATTTAGTTAATAATCACAATTTACGCCAATTTTTTAGATTGAGTAAAGCTTAAGTGGTTACCAATAATTATATGATCCTAAGTTTTGAAATTTCTTTTGTTTTTAATAGTTATATGCACAGTGTGTAAAAAAATAAACGGACCACTCTGAATAACTTTTGATCTAATAATCAGATCTTCATGTTCTAGAACTCACTCTTAATGGTTTGAGAGGTGATCTCAAATTGAAATATGCTAATTAATTAGTTCAGATGATATTTTAGATTACAGAATCAGACTCAGAAACATACCTTTTCTGGATAAACTTATTTGTTCAATATATTCGGAACTGACTTCCAAAATATGCTGCATTCTAGGAAACATGGTGCCCATAGTCTGGTCAGGAGAGCCATTCAAAGTTTGTGCCCCTAAATGCGAATTTTACTTTTTGCATATTTTGTCATATCTTAAGAACTTTTTAAGCAAATTAAAATTTCTTTCCATTTATCCAATGATAAATTTCATGCAAAATATTATTTATTATTTTTTTTAATAATAATTGATAAAATTTTGAATTGTAAGGTATAAAATTTTTCTCATTTGAAAGAATTTAGTTTAACACCCCAAAATTTGAGCAAAATCAGTCTAATAGGCCCTGAGAAATCGTATTTTAAAAAAGTTGCGTGCTTAAAATTCGATTTCTTGAGAACTGTTCGACAGATTTCACTAAAGTTTTGTATTTTGCCACGTAAAATTACATTCTTTAAAATGATATAAAAATCTAAATGTTACGATTCAAAATTTTTCCACTATTACGGAAAATAATAAATATTTAAAGTTATTTTTGCGTGCAATTATGTTCTGCTAAACTAGTTTTATAATTATGTGCAAAAAATGTTCAATTCACTTAAAAGAAAATTTCTTGGGATGTGGCAAAATTAGCATTACATTGACCCAACTTTGGAAACCAAATTTTCTAGATTAATTCATATTTTGGTGGTCAGAAATCTTAATCTGTCAAAAAACAGTATTTATTTGGAGAAAGTACATTTTTGTGATTTAAAATATCGTCTGCACTTAATAATTAGCCTATTTGAGGTCACCCCTTGAACAATTAAGATGAAATTCTAGAATGCAAAGATCTGATCATTAGATCAAGTTATTTAGGGCTGCCTGCTTATATTCTTTGTGCACTGTACATATAAATGTTAGGGGTGGTCATCTCAACTCATGAAGACAATGTTATGTAAATATAACAAAAGTAATCATTAGGGTGTGATGGCTTTTATTTTGAATTCTGTGCAATTTTAAGTGTGTACTCCATTAATACTAAAAAAGTTGCTATCAAATCTAATTAAATTTTTTATTTTTCCTTTCAGCCTGCAGACAAAGTTGAGTTAGAACCAGAGATCAGTAAAGAGATTAAAGTTGACTGATAGATGTTGCAACTTATCTGCTTTAATATTATGTTTATTTTTTATTATTTTTTGTATGAAACTCAAGATATTTTATGTGTATGAATTTGTTTCAGCTGTATATATGAATTTAACTTATTTCTGAAAAAAGTTGTACAATAAATGTAGTAATAGAACAGAAATTTTATTTTTACATTTACCATTCAGCAAACACACCACATTCTTTAATATTCGCCATGTTTGATTTTCTTTGACGATTTGTGGCGCTAGCTTCACCTTTAATTATAATCCTTTTTTTCTCTGTTTTCTTAGCTTGTTTTGAAAGTTGCTTTTTGAGTCTATGTCTAACCTCTTCTGGTGGAATAGTTGTCACAGAACGTATGCTATATGTTTTCGTTTTAGTTTTCTTGATTACGTCTCTGTTTTCACTTGCATCACTTTCTGAGTGGCTTTCACCTGAAATTTCTTCATGTTTCTCATTAATTTCTTTGTTAGAAATAACTCCAGAGTTAACTGGCTTAAGTTCTTCAGAAAGGATATTTTCTTCATTGTGCAGACTAGGCAAATCACAAGTCTCATTTGAAGTTTCGGAAAATTGTGAATCGCTATTAAACTTAAGAGCTTCCACTGAATCATCAAGATATCTTTCTAAAATGGCATTTTTGGATTTCATCTTGTGATCCCTTTTTTCTTCTATTGTAGTTTCTTCTTCCTTATTGTTAAAATCTTGTGTTTCACCTTCAGATTCAGGTGTTTCATCTTTCTCAGGAACTTCTTCCAATGTCATCATACCTAAAGCCTAGAAAAAATATACATTTACAAATTTTAAATATTGTTGAATTTAGTAAAGTCATATTTTTAATGTCTTATTAGTTACTGTTAATTAATATTTATCAGCATAATTTCAGTTAAAATAGAAATCAAAAGTAGGAAAGTTACAGAATAAAAATAAGGTTGGTATAACTAATAAGACAGTAATATGAAGGATGCACTTTATTAAACAAAATTTCAAGCAGTTTTTAAAAGAAAGCTCAAAAGGATTTTCCACATAATTATTTTTTTTTTTTTGCTGTCCAGTTATTATAAAGTGTAATTTGCAATACTACATATATAAAATTTGTGGAAAAATCATTGATTATTTTAAGATTTGCAATAAAAACAAAAACTACTTAGAAAATTACTTGAAGCTTTTTATGTTCTTAGGATATTTAAATCAGATTTTTTCCATTAGTTGCTGTACCTGATTCACTACAAAATTCTGAAAAAAATTAAAGTTTTTCCCGTGCATGTGGTACAAAAGAACTACTTTAAATACTTATATCTTGCACATTTTAAAACAATAATTTTGAATTGCTCCAAAATTTTGATTTTATTGAATACTTTTAAAGCTATATATATATGACCAAAGAATTAGTCTTTTATAAAAATGTTCATATCTCCATAAATACTTAAACTAGATTTACAAAATTTTATGCAGTTATTTCAAATAATAATCAAAATAACTGATACAAGTTGCGAAGTTTGTTGCTTGATTTTCTGACATAGGGTGATCAAAAATACTTGTTTTCCTTTCGTAATTTATTGTTGGTCTCTCAAGTTTCTGATAGCTTTAAACTTCATTGCAAAGTATGAAAAATCACATGAACGAAACACTTCTAAAGTTATAAAATAGTCTAAGAAGTATTTCTTGAAAATTCAAAAAATAAAATCAAAAACTGAAAGTGTCTCTTCTATTATTGTAGAGTAGTGTATATATAGAATATAGAAAAAAAATCATGGCATTTAAAGCATCCTCTAACGGCATTTACCTGAAATACCTATGTTCCATAAAAAAATTTAGAAAAGATAGTTATACGCTATTTTCGACCTGGGGAATGCTGACAGTGATTTATAACAGAATGCAAGTACTCTGTAAATTTGGTATTTGCCTCAGCAATGTTAAAATGATCTGATTACTTGTAATCAGAGGAAAGATCAATAGCTGAAATTATGAAATATAATTGTGAATCTTCAGATCCACCACTATCATTTAATGAAGCAGTAGTTATGTTGCCGAGACTGAAAATTTTCTTTCAAAAACAAGAGAAACAGATGATTTTTAGTTGTAGAAAAATTCATAGTACACTTCAAAAAAAGAAGTAAAAAACATATGTTGGATTTTTTCATTCAAATAATAAAATTTTTCTAAACTAATTACAATAAAGTTTCATATTGTATTTAGGTCCTTAATAAAATATAATTAAACTAGTATATATCTAAATTTTAGTTTTCATAGGAATTTCCATGTTCCCAATATATCAATGTTCTGTTATTGACAAAGTTTTGGTCTAGTTCAACAAGTATTGTTAAATCGAAGTTCTATTGTATTTTTAAACTACCTTGTAAGAGTAAATATTAAGACATTAGAGGTTACTTATTAATTCATTTTTAAAGGAAAATTTGAGAATGTATAGAAACATCTCTAAGCTGCTGCAGATTAGATTTTGATTGAAATCTATAGTATTTAAAGAATTGTCTGAATTAATTGTTATTTATCATCTTTAACTTTGCTCTTCAATACTCAAAGATAATAATAAATATAATACCTCTTCTAAGTCTTCTTGAACTTCTTTTGAATAGCCACTGGCACACGTAGTCAAGTCTAAAGTATCTTCTCTCCTACATAAAGCATATAATTGTCAGAAATTATATATTATTTAACAACTACTTTTATATAAAATAAACAATTTAAAGAGTTAAATGAGTTTTGAATTTCAAAAATGCATTAAAAAAATTTAGTCATGCAACACATCAAGAATATCCCCAAGTTTTTAAGCTAGCTAGAAGCAAGATTAAGAAAAAAATAAATAAAATAAAATTCAAAACTCTTTTTGAAATCAGTGAGTATGATTTCCTCCCAAAATAATGCATTTGATTTTCTGGAAATTCTGATTGTTTTGTAGTAGAATCAACAACTGGTTAAATAAATGTTTTTACTTTTAATTATTACAATGATACATAGCAATATTGGGAGTAAATTTCATTGAAAACTATTTTATGGGTATCGAAGAAAAAATTCCTTATTGATAGTTGATTCTATACTAAAGAAGTGTGCTTAATTTCAGAGAGTTCAGGCAGTCAGCTATTAAGAAATCATGACCCTTGACTGGATATATTTTTTTTCTAGAAACTCTCACAAAACTAGGTCTAAACAGTTAAATTTTCAAAATTAGGACTGAAATTTTTATCAAACATTCTGTGATAGGCTGAAAATTTAAATACATCTTAATGAATCTTTGAATAATCTTTCATTAGATACTAAATCATAAGATATTTTAGGTTAAATAAATGTTCAAAATAAGAAATAAGCTATTTTATTAAAATTATCAAAATAAAGCTAAAACATTCCCTAAAAATATAACTGGTTGTTAAAAAATAATTAGTATTTTTTCAATAAAAATTAATGAACAAAATACTTAATGATTTTTAATAGAATTAATTTAGATTTTAAAGAAAGATTTAATAGAATCAAACAGGCATGCAGCTTCTATTCATGTTGTATAATGCAACACTAATTTCAGATTTAAGTCATCCTATCCTAAATATTTCATTAATAGAATTGTTAACTTTAAATTTGATAAAAAAAATTTTCTTGAATTTTAAGGACCAACTATGAATACAGGGTTCATGCTCTACTATAAAAATAAAATTCAAGTACTTTTCAAGGACTTTTTAAGACTTATTATAAAATTCTCAAGGACTTAAATAATGTTTTGACGATAAATGTTAGTCGATAATAGCAGTACTGAAAAATAAGACTTCCATTTCTCTCTCTAGATTTCGGAAAGTGATCTAAGTACATATATAAAAAAACAACAAAAAAAAAACAAGGGTGATTGGCATCAAGTCGAGAATAAAATTCATGATGCATAAAAACGTCAGGTTTAAATTTTGCATTAAGGCTTATTTTAAGCTAGGTATACAAAGTCTGAATAAGCAAAGATTCGGGCAGAAGACGGGGTAGGGGGGAATGTTCTATATAATACTGTGATATCAATTAGATATTTAAAAACAACTCTGACGGGAGACTTTTATTTAATATTTAAAGTGGCAGAAGCATTTAGACAGTGAAATTTAAATTGTTCTTAAATATAATTTTGAAATTTCGACCACTTTTCTATTTAAGAAAATTAATCAATTATTGGATGTTGCGGCTTGATTATCATTTTAAATTTATTACCAGTCAACCATTTTAAATTGAAACAGTTGCCAACTTTCACCTCAATACCTTCTGATAGATTCTTAGTAACAATTTTGGTCACTGACTTTTTTAATTAACCACTCATACTTGAATTAACTTTTTTTCAGTAGCATCGATCATACGCACTTGACATGGTCACGTGAATATGAATTGCAACGAGTAGTTTTCAAATCGAGTATAAATACGAAAATCGATGTTTGATATCGCAAAATGCGTGAATACGAATAGCGACATTGGATTTTAAACTCGCGGAAAAACTAATTGCGCTAAAAAAACGCTTAAGTACAAATCGCGATATTAGATTTTTAAATTGCTTTAATGGGAATTGCGAGTACGATTTTTGAATCACGCGAAAACGAATTGCAACAC